GGGAGGTGAAAAATACCATCAATCATTGAAATGACTGGTGAGAACACCTTCACTTTAAAAAGTGCCAACAATAAATTAACAACTGCTTTAGGAATAGAAATATTTTTTCTTAGTATCATTTACTTAAGGATTTCTCAGCTAGAACAGATAGGAACATAGACACGAATAGAATCTTTTTATGGTTACAAATGTACAGCTGGCTGTCAAAATTCCCACAATGTAATATGAATAGCAACAATGGAATATTGGATACTCAATAAAATGAAACCAGGTAAGAAAAAAATCTTTACAAGCTAGTTGATGTAGTTCAGAGTACTTGAATAGCAATAAGGTATAACAAGAAATTGAGACAACAGAAAACAAATGAGATTATTCACAACTGAGAAAGGCTACTTGTGTTTTCTCGGTCAAAAGCTGGCAGCTTTCAAAAAACACAGAAAGATGAAAAATTATTCAGGATATTCACAGGAAGCGGTCAATCCTGAGATGTATTAAAAACAAATGCAGCACAACTCTGGATTTTTTTAATCAAGGTTTTCCTCCCTCTCCTCTTCTGTGTGTGTCATGCCCTTTAAAAAACAATTTCTGAAGAAACGTTTCATAAAAAACATCAAACATTTAAGCAATCAGACCTGCCAGGAAAGGAAATGAAGATGAGACATGGACAACTTTGAATCTCATTAGAATTCCTGCCTTGGAGGTCATTGTTAACCTATTTTCCCTCTCCTTTCAGAAGTCATTATCTGTGTCAGTTAGGAGAAAGGAAAGAGATAGGAAAATACAATGAAGGTCTTCTTAACCTTTAAACGACATATATAGTTTAACTTGTGGGAGATACTGATGCTGCTGATAATATAGCCATTTTTATCTGGAGATAAAAGTGCAAAAAATAACAAGGGACTAGAAAATTATGTAAGGTGAGGCATATTCTTACTACATCTAGAAGTGCTGAGCATTATAAGAAGTATATAAATAGACTTGCTTCAGCAAAGCCTTTTATACATTATTGAACTTTCCCATAGATTCAGTGGTTTTGCCGCTATGTGGTAACTGAAAAAATGTATTATAGTATAAATCAGAGAAAGATCAAATCACGGAAAATGTGAGCAATACAGTCTTCACTCAGAATTATAGACATTCCCCTCCCTAACCTCATAGATTCTTGTTTTTAGCACCACTTACGGGATTATTATCTATGGAGCAAGGAGATAGGACATAATAGGACATAGGGCTGCTTGTCTACTTTTGCTTCAGTACTTTCTGCGGCTATCTTTTGCCACCTCATAATCTTTTCACATAGCAGAATTTCCAAAAAACCTTTTAGGATAAAACTAATCAAGGAAATTTTGGCCAATATGTCTTATTTTCATCTTGATGAAGAGCATGGGGAAAGACACAAACTTCATTTTCATTCCACAGGTGCCCAGAGGAGATACCTCTACCATTATAAGTAGTTCTTCCCCAGCCACATGTATCTCCTTTACATGATCAAAATTGTGGCTTTATTTGGTCAAGAAGGAAGGAGGTAGAAAAGGATGTAGTCTAATTTCCCGGGAATCCTATAAGATTATAAGGATTTACAAGGATTGTGTTAGCGTCCTCAATATTGATTTTATCTTGTTTTATTCACACATTTTACCCCCATCAGGTGGCATTCTTTTGGCAAATGACTGCTGTAACAGGCAAGACAATGGGAGAAAAGATTCTGGGTAGAAAGCTAAGATATAAGCCTTCTTTATACAGATGGACCCAATTTTCTTGTACAGAGGGGGAATTCACACTTGTAGGAGGACAATCTCCTACCCATCTCAGACCACTTTTCCCTATCCTAGTGAAAGAAAACTCAAAAGGACACTATAAATTGACTCATAAAAGAATGATAGGCCCTTTATTCAAGAGCAGCCAACCAGGTGGGCAGGAAAGGAATACGTACTCAGGTGCTTATAATTCAGCAAATCTCCAAAGCGTAGCTGCAGATTCTGACAACTGATCTGCCAATTTTCATAGCATCTTGGCAGTTTACAGTAACGCACATCTACCATTTACATTTAGCTACTGTCAGTTTTTGATTCCTAATAAGCGCAACTTAAATGACATTATCAATTAGAGCGTCATCTTCATCCACAGCAATCGTCATTATATTCTTCTGTTTTAGAAAAGAACAATTTGAGGATAATAAGCATTTGAAATTGAAGGAAACAGTGACAGTTCTAAGGTTGCTCAGCCTGGAGGCATTCTTATTGCAGCTCTGTTTTCTCTGTGTGATGTTCATGACTACACATTTTTCCCATCTATGTTTTCCTTCTGAAACAGCAGTAGCAATATTAAGAAGCATGTTTTGCTGCTATCATGGGTCTCAGACACAGGATGCTCTTTGGAGTAGCTCAAAAGAATACTGACTGGTTTGCAAACTGTAAGAGAAAGGCTAGAGTATCAATAGCTGTGTCATAGGCTTACTCCAGTGAATATACTTCTTCACACTGATAGTTCTTCACCTTTGGGAAGAAAAGTAGTTTCCTCTTGGTTTATGTAAAACATAATTAAGTCTGAAAACAGTAGAACATATCTGATGTGCTCCTGATATGCACCAAAGCTGAGGCTAGTGTGCAAAAAGAAAGAAAGAATGAAAAATTTTGCTGAACTTTCAGTCCTGTCATGATGGATTTCAATCCATTTTCATTTCCTGTTGCTTAGTTCTCATAAGCTAAAGCTTGCAAGACGCCATGGTCTTCTTTTCGCCTCTAGTTGAACGTAATGGCCAAAAAATATCCTTGGAGACATAAAGAAGGTTATTTTTTTTATTTGGAAGGTCATTTATCTTAGGCTGGAGACCAGTGTGTGGGCAAGAGTCCCTGATATTTATCTGTTCTGTGAGTGAGTCTACACTGCAGCAAATACAGTGTACAATAGACTACTAATAATATTCATGGTAACATGAATATTAACAAAACCTAACTGCCTGAGTGTTTACTCAGCTTCTTAGGAGGGAATGGAGCTACTTATAAAATCTACCTGTAGCCAGTACCTAATTTAAACCTAGAATAACTATAGTTACACTATATATCCATCTGGGTCTTGACACTCTATTTTGTCACTTGTTTTGTAATCTAAATGCATTGTTGACACATGCCAAATACTGAATTGTAACTTCTATTCCATTTGTCATTCTGAGGATGATCCATATAGTTCCAAATTATCACATGAAATATGCCTGAGCTTTCTGGAATCAAGATGGTTTAGTTTCTAGATGACTGTGAGCATTTGCCTGAGGCTTTTGAAAGACAGCAGCAGATCACAAGCCATGAACGGTGGCATTTGATTTTAAGTTCTGTCCCCTTTACTGTATTTCATCTTTGACAACAACTTAGTCAAAGTAGAATCAAGATGATACAGACTGCTGAGTTGGAGGGCACTTTCCCATACTAAATTAATATTTAGGACTAAAATATTCAGCATATGCCCTTCTTTCCACTAATTGAAAATATATGCATCTACTACTGGAATTATCAACTTGGAGATTCAGCAAAGATAACAGAAAAATTCTGGGAATCCTGCCATGGATGCTGAGCAGTTTTGTTGAAGCTGAGATGATTCGACCTGAGTGCTTTATATTTCCTAATGCAACTATGCCTCATTGGAAATTTCTGAATTTAGCTGTGCTGTCAAGTTATTGTCCTTCCTACTTTTCTTATTTTGAAAGCTAATGATCATTCATGAGAAAAATATGCAAAAAAGAGAGCACAAATAAAACTATAGAAAACTACTAATATCATGTCAGAGATAGTGAAAGGAAAATGCATCTTCAAGATAAGCCCACTTTTATGATTCTGCAGTTTTTATTTGAAGAATGTGAATCCAAATGAAATAATTTAGTACAAGGTTCAGAAGCTTTTGGTTATTTACTTGTTCCACACATATTCAAGATAGATCTGTGTCATGCTACTTGCTAAATAAAGAAAAATGACTCATTTCCTTAAGAACTGGAGGGGTTTCTAACAAAGCTAAAACTTCAAGCTATCATAATACAATAAATAGAAAACAAAGCATTATTCAGGAATTTTTTTCTGTACATAATTGAGGAATAAGATTCTATATAGAGCTCTAATTACCACTGATGGGAGGGAAAATGGAAATTATAAAACATTTCAGTGAACGCTTTGATACTAAAATAGCTGTGATTTCAGAAGTATTTTTTTCCTATTTTAATTGTCATAGTAATTTCTTACTTCATTCCAGTATATGTTTCTTAATTGATGGTTCTTATAGTAAGCAAAGCTGAATGTAAAATATTGTTTGAAATAAACATCTTTTGATGGCGCAGTTGTACAAAATGTGTCTTTCTGCTGCCCATATACAGTTAAAAAACAAAAGTAATTTGACTATATTAGGCTAATTTTGCTAGACAGATTCAGTTCATGCTTCAGCTGTCAGAACAACTGCTGCCTTCATACTGATACTGATTTTGACGTTTGTTTGAGCAACTGAAATATCACAGATTCAAGGTAGGCTAGATAATTGTGCTGCTTTATTCTAAATGATTTTTAAATGTAAGGTTAGTTTAACAAAATGTTGTACTGAAGAATTTTCAGATTTTTCCTAAACACAGAAATGTTTGAACTACAGTTGCACAAAATAGGAAATAGATGATTCAAATAAATTATTCTGCAGATGTATGTATTAATATAAACTAACACATAGACAAATTACTTCTGCGAGTTTGTTAGTTTATGCCATTTATAAATATAGCTTATTAATTGTCAAGCCTGTACAGCCTTAATTCCCATTTAGTGGAACAGGATTTAAGCTTTTTTAAGAGTTTTCAGGTTCAATGTATCACAGCAATGATGGAGAAGAATGAGGAGAAACTGCAAACCGTTCTGATAAATTACATTAACCATACATCTTTGAACAACTCGCCTGAATTTTTTCCATTTTGCCATTGAAACAAATGAAAATGCCTTCTGGCTTGGCTACAAACATAAAAGAATCAACTTACCCAAATCTCATCTCCCCAAAGACAGTAAATTACGTAACACAGTGAGACTGTCAATATGCCAGTGTGGTATGCAACAGGTTTATGGTCTGTGGGAAGAACATGAACAAAGAATTTATGTTTCCAAAGTTCCCCGCTTCAGTCCATAAAAAAGAGTGGAACCGCTCTGGAAGCACTTAATTGCTTTGAAAACTTGCTTGTAGGAATCACAAGTTAGTCTGTGGAAGAATTTGTAAGCTGTATAATGCATGAGACAAGTCAAAGGAAAGGTATTTTTCAAACTCCTGTCCCAGCATATTCAGCCTGCACTTGTAACCACCCTAAAGTTGCCTGCCTTTTTTTTTTTCTCCAAACTCATAGTCCCCTTTCAAACTGACCCCTGACTTGCAAAGGTTTTGCTCTGTCGCTGCTGTTCACTCATTCTTAAACTTAATTAGACTGTAGCTGCTGTACACTGTGTGATGCTGCTGTAATCAGGCTAGAAGGCTGCTCTCATTTTGGATGCAATTTCCTCAGTTAAAGGATGACTTTTTAATGATACAGAAAAGATAAATTGCTTTGTAAAATGTAATTTATATTCATGTGTACATATGTGTGTGTTTATGTTTTAAATATAGTCCATATTAATATAAATTCTGATATGTAAGTCAATATTTACTATCTTTGTGGCAAGAAATAATTAGCTTTAAAAAATCCTTTTTCGTTTAGCTGGATCTACAAAAAGTGAAAGAGTTACCCAAAACGGTTGGAAAAATTTCCAGTAGTTCACTAGTCTGTGTAACACATGGAGGCCTCTGTAAGTACACTGCTGAGGGAAGTTAGTTAAATTAACTGCTGTGAGCTTTTTCTGCAAGAATTGAGTATAACTTTGCTGAAGAAGTCCATTCGCTGTCTTCTGCCAGTGAGCCAAGTGGTTAAACTTATTTATGTGGAGTTCTGAGCGTTTTCAGATTTGAGTCCTGACTGTGTCAGTGCAGGTTGTTCAAATCACAAGTCTACTGTTATCTTCACTGTACATGCTAGTCTCAAATGTCTACTCTGACCTTTAGGCAAGTTATTTGCACTCTATCTTTTTATGACTGAAATAAAGTGGGTAGCCTTCCAGCTGATGAAACCTTACTTTTTATACATATGCCTATTAGCAAGGGCAGGCATAGCTTTGAACGACACATGAAAATAGATGTTTCTTGCCTTATTTTTAGCTTTTGCAGAAGAATTTCAATGGACAAACGTTAGCTCCAAGACTAGTTTCCAAAAAATGAACATCCATTTCACATATACTGCAGTAAATACTAGATGAAACAATTCTCTGTTAAATAATCACTTTTCAGGTAATATCCACTTTTTTATTCGCTTTCCTAGTGACACTAACTTGAACAATCTGTCAAACAGCTTTCAATCCAGTAGATTTTTTTAAAGTGAGAGCGTTCAGTTTGATTTATATTTTACTTGTGCCTGAAACATGGGAAGGTGTTTCACTTCAGAATATAGAGAATAGCTTTTCCAGAAAGCTATCTGTGGAACTGAGATTCATCTCCTGTTCACATCCAGTCATTTCTTCAACAGTTTCTACCTTTGTAAACCAAACTCCTGTTGGGCCAGTATCCTTCATGCTTGGTTTTAATCTTTGAGTGTTCTGCAAAGTGCAACTAAACTCTGGAAAATTCAGCTAAAATAATCAATAGCAGTTAGAAACATTTACCCATGTGAAGAAGGGGCTTCAGATGTGTCCTATTCAAATATCCTCTAGGAGAAAGGCAAAATAATTCAAGAAAAGAAAGAAATCAATTTCCCCCTATAACTGTCATACCTGGAAAATTGTTGAGTAATTCAATACTTAGGGTTATTGTTTCCTCCAAGCTTCTGATCACGAGTCCGATTTTCCCATTTTCTGTTACCAGTAGGTTTTGAGATGAAATTTGCTGCGCTAATTATCCACCTTCAGTTGAGTTATTTGGAAGTCTTTAACTGAAATCCTTGGGTGGGTTCTGAGAAAAGATTTAGGAAAGTTTTTTATTTTACTGAAAGTTAAAGCAGAACTTTACCAACTACTTTCCCATAAGTTTTGTGTAACGGTCCTTCCCCCCACCCCCCCGGCCCAAACCGGTAACTTTGCTCTCTAGCTGACCCAGGCAACTAAGGTGTTCCAAAGAGAGTTACACTTCAGACCTGGATTGTAAAAGGAGAATCACCTCTGCAGTGATCACTGCATGCATGTGTGTCCTAAGGCTCCATCTGAGACAAGTATAAGCTGCTGTGGGTCATACCGCAGTACTCACTTCAGTCCTGGTCCTTTAGCTAGCCAAAGCGTCCACAGTCTTTCCAAGCCACAAGCTCCCTAAATACCTGCTCATTGGAGGGGAGGGAGGAAGAAAGTGGGGTGACTTCTACATAGTTTGCGTAGAATGCGTAGAATACCAAGATGATAATGAGGATGAGCAGAAGGAGAGAGAAGGAGAAAAAGAGAAAAAGAAAAGAGACTCTATTCCAGGTATACTTAGTGAGACAGGAATCTCTGGGAAGAAAGTAGCATGCACTTAAACAGTTAAAAACTACAAGGTGTGTGCAAGCAGGGGTATTAGGCAAAGATGACCAAGCTAATACTAATTCTAGTATTTCCTAAGTTCTGAGAGTTTCCCCTTGAACCTTAGTATTTTTTGAACATATGTCATTAGGCTTTTTAGAATGTGAAATGTATTAAGTCGTATGGAGTCATATACTGAGATATATATATGGCTACTTGGAATGAAAAATCGAATCACTCACCTAAGATGTTCTCCGTTTATGTATTTTTTTGTTTCAAAAATGTGTACTGGTATAATTTATGATATTTGGATTATTCTTTTAAAGAACATCAGGTGCAGAAATCAGCTAATCAAAATTTTTTTGATAGAATTCAGATAAAAACGTGAGTTTGAGGCTACACTAAAATGCTATATTCATTAGCTTTTGCTTGCATTCAGTAAGCTTTCCCCCCCTAAAGCAAGGACCTTGAATTGTTCTTAAAGCTTCTTGATTAAACCAATTAGTTTTAGCAGTAATACTCAAAAAATCAAAAAATCACTTTCAGTGAGCAGCAGCAGTAGCTGGGCAATTCTGATTCTCATGTCAAAAAAACAAATTTCCAAAAAACCCACCATTCAAAATGATCTAAGTCAGAAATCATATCATATTTTCTCAGATAGCTTGAAGGATAAATTAATTTATAGCATTTGCCTTTCTTTATTTGACTTACACTGACAGTTTAGGATATTTATTGACTCTAGCTCTCTACATAAGGAGGGAGTTAGTTTAAATGACTTAATTTTGAAGAAGCAAAAAATCTTTTAGCGTGCACATATTGTCATAGCATATAGATATTATCAGAATTTTTTTCAGAGCATGATTTTGGAAAAATGTCACATCCATTTTATTTTACTTAGACATATCATTGCCTTAAGCTAAATTATAATATTTGCAAATGAATCACAAATTTATAGGAGATTTAAAAAACCGAAATTTCATGAGATCTCTCAACACATTTCATAAAGTACAGGAATAATCCTAACATCTTAAAAATTCTATCTCTTTTAAACGTGCTAATACCCAAGCTTATGTTTGGAGCTGAGCAACTGTAACTTATACATACTACTTTTTCACACTGTCCCACTACTAACCACCATAGTAACTGTTACTGTTTTCTGGAACCTTACGCAAAGAAGAAATTGAATACACTCAAAATTCCTATTTTGAAAGTCAGGCATCTAGTACAAGTAAAGAGCTACTGAGACAATATTCAAGTGTTCACAGACACCAAATAAGCCTCCTACCAGGTTTGAAGTCGTGAAGGAATGACTTTTTCCACAGGAATCATTTAATTTATTATCTCTATCCCTTTGAAGCACACTTCATTTTCTAAGACCATTCAGACACTTGGTCATACACAGGTCTTTTGAAAAGCATATTCACAGAAAACTCACATTTCACTTCTAGCTTACAGGAGAGCCTCAAAGGTCAAGAGGTACTAAGAGAAACTAAACTAACACACCAAAATTACTGTCTTTTAATGCATAGATCAGAATTCTGTGTCTGGAGAGTAATTGAGAAATGTGCCTGTAAGTAGAAAATGTGAGTAAAAAAAGCTTAAACAGACTGTACTTCTGTTATCTCATTTTAATCTCCATAGTTTCAATCAACAAGATCAATTTTTTTATTTAACCTTGTTTTTCTGTTTGCAAGGTAACTTTCTTTCATGACACATGTTTGAGAGCAAGTCTTTTGAAGCAGTGAACCTCTCTGCCTAGCATTAGTTTAGGTCACCTTTGAACCTGTTATTTCCATACGATAACTTCCATATGACTTCCACCAAATGACTTGGAGTGTCTTTCAGGGCAACTGGCAGTAGAAGACCTGGCCTTTCCTGCTTTAAGGATTAGTTTATGAACAGTCTCAAAGGCTTATTTTTCTAATATGCTGCAATTACAGTTTAGTTCCTAGCCTGGGCTTGGGACTAGTGGAAAAGTTGGGGACACTTCTAATGGAGGAGATCTTTGTTTCTAAATTCAGAAACCTGAGCCTTGGAAGCCCATAAGACTTCTGTGAACTAGGTTATTTTGGACTTAAGTATAAATGAAGAGCATTAAGCCAGAGGTTTAGCTAAAATACAGGAAAATCCCCTTTGCTGTATTCTATCAGTAATCTGATTTTTCATTAAATTTTCCTAAATGAAGAGAGTGAAATGAATGAAGGAATGTATGTCATTTAAAAGGATATGCTCTAAATGATTTTTTTTTATAAATGCATTCTATTGCATTACTAAAAAAAAATAATGTTTTAGTAGTTAGGATAAAGCATTTAAATTCCTATGGTGTCAATCAAATCCTCTCTAGTGTAAGAGCCTACCATGCAGTTCAGATGATAAGAAGGCTTGAAATCAATATATTTTAGGTCCTTTATTTAATTTTTTTTTTCTAAATATCCAATGAATTCCTTCACTCTGGCATTTGATTTTCTTTATTGTTCATGTTTAATGAAAATATGAAACAACTCTTTTCAAGCAAAAGATAAGTTACATTATTATTCCAAATACTTGTCAAAACATTTGGAATGCACGTAGAACTTCCTTGAAGATGGGTCTATAGTATGAAATTTATATTGCTTATAATAACTTTAGAAATGAATTTTAGACCAATAGGTTTCTGTTGCATTAATGGAAAACAGGGGATTGTTCATATGGAATAAACAACACATCATACTTCCCATAGAGCTGCTAAAGTAAAAATTTATGCTGTGTTGAATAGAGTATCCCTTTTATAGCTCAAAGGCGTGGTACAAATTCAAGGCTTAAAAATATGTTTAGTTACTCTTATCCATGAATAGAATATAATGGTTTTTCATCACTATCCCTCTTCAAAAGTTGCAGAAGTACTGAAGTAAAAATCATCATCTGAACATACCTAGATACAGATTTCCTAGAAGTAAAATATCATTTCCAAATATAACATTATTTCTTTACAAGACTAGGGAAAAGGAGAAGAATGAAGGAGCAAGAAAGAAGAATGTTAGGCCCAACTTGGAACTAGAATCATGAAAAATCACCCTCTGGGAATTCTTCAGTTCTACTGTAAAAACTCCGGGATCAGAGTTTCCTTTATTGTCAGACTTTCCTTTATTGTCAATCCCTTACCTCAAAGAGATTTCTTAAGGATAAGCATCCTTTTGTATAATAGTACCAAAAGATAAACATACGGAAAACAACATCCTAGGAAGACAGAACAGCAGTGACTTCAATTTGTGCAATAGACATACCTGCTCTAGAAACTTTGAAATTAATTTGATAACTGCTGACAATGCAATCATGAAAGCCAGGATTTGGGTAAATGAGTAAGTTGGAAACGACTTAAATCTTTCTAAAAGTGTCTTCCCAAAGGAGTTATTTATCTGCCTTGTTTTATTCTGTGTATCAGTAGCACTGCCTTCAATGTTCAAGAGCTATGTATGGTTCTTTGTTTGCCTCAGTGACTGAGGCAACAAAATAGATTTGATCACTAAAAGAATTTTTCTTAGGACAATATCTTTACAAACACTGGTACACAAAATCATAGAGTAATCTGGACTGGAATGAAGAAGACCCCTAGAAATTAAAAATAGCCACCTCTTTCCCAAGGAAGAAGGTCCAACAAGAAAAAAATTGTTTGCAGGCATCAAAAAGAAATAATAAACTTTCTCCAAAAATCATCAAGAAGTTATAGCATTTCCCAGTGAACTCATCAAGAGTCTATTAACTTCTTTTCCTCCTTCTAAACATACCTATCTTGATAAATTTTATTCCCAATATTAGAATGCAAACGCACCTGAGCTGTCAGTGATGGAGTTTCTGCTTCTTCACATTTGGCACTGAGTACAAGCAACGGACACAAAGCAGAGGGGGAACACTCAAGTCTTATTGGCAGCTCTCTGCCTGGCTCTTTATCTGATAATAGCCACTTAATATGAGTGTATGGAAAAAAATAGCAGCCAGATAACAAATGAGAATGTGGTTTAAACCAGATAAACATTACTCATGACTAAAACAGTTTGCCAAATGAACTACCATCAGTAAATAGCAGAAACTCCATGTTGAGTTAATAAAAGTCTACTCAAGGAGCTGTGGGGCCTACAATAGCTATGGAGGTAAGTCTGCATACATGAGAGGTTATAAAATGTTTGAGAGTTTTTTCCTGTTTAAGTAGATGGGGAACTATAATTCAGCTTTTGGTTAAAATTGTCTAAGACAAGTAGGGCAAAAGTGAGTCTAGGGGTGTAGTAACTGACTGAGAAGATCCGTACTCTGCTCACACAGTGTACTCAGACAGGAACTGAGGGACAGGGCACTTATTTCTTCTCCATGTCAACTAATGAATGGGCTAAATAAAGCATAAAGCAGCAAAGGATTCATCGCTGCAGTCCCTGAAATTGTTGTTCCATGGATAGATTACCGGTTTCTAAACTCCCACCTGCCTCAAGAGGGAAAATACTGACTCAGCCAAGGAGCCTCAAGATCCGCATGAGCCACCATGGGAGATTCGTTAGGTAGACACAAGCCCCTGTGTAGTTGTATACATTTGTCTTATTTATATGAGGAGATATTGGTGAACAGCATGTACACGTTAAACCCCTCTAAGCATTTGTGCACACACACAGATTTCTAAAAATAAAATAAACAATCATGGCTGGGATAAATGTATATTCCAAGTATTCAATAATGCTACTTTTAATAGATGATTTTGCTGCAGTACTAAATTATAAGTTTGCTGCATATCATTTCCTCCAAGTAAGCATCAGTTCTGTCTCCTGTAGAATCTATATTTGTCCTTTTAAAAAAATGATTTTGACTGACATTATGACTAATGAACATATAGGGAAGATATAAGATGCTTCAAAAACAAAATAAACTGGCAGTTATATGCAAGCTTCAGAAATTTAATATTTCTGTCCCAAGTATAAAGCAACTAGGACATAGATTATTTCATCTGCCTCCCACCACTGTCTTCAAGTAGCACACTGAAAAGTTTTATGTGATTTAATTATTCCCTTATTCAAAGAATTAAAGTTCTGAAGCTCACACATTGCACTGTCTTTTCTATTTTATTTATTTTTGAAGTCCTTTTCCTTCCTACAATCATTAACCTTAGAGATCAGTCAAAATCATGAGGAGGAAGAATGCTGCAGGAAAAGAACAAATACAAACTACTTGTAGGAAGAAACACTAAAACTTTTAGAGGGTACCCAAATCTACGTTACTCTGCCTGTACAAAGAACCCCAGATCTCCCTTCCTAACTATCTGAACTAGACAGAGGGCTTTTTCGTTTATTAAATTTATAGATAATGCTGAATGGAAAAAAAAATGAAAAAGTCCAAACCTAGTATACTCAAGCAAAAATGAAGGAAAGCTTGATTAGTTTAGAATCAGATAAAATGTCAGAACTATACTTACAAATATGAAGAAGAGGGTAAGCTTTTGATTAATGGTGTCTTAAGTGATATGAGCAATGCTTAGAAAAGAGGTACAAAAAAATTTAGAAAGAAACAAGTACTCTTGTGACAACAGTCATCACAGCATCATGAGTTCCTTTTCAGAGAAATGAAATGCAGTGAGTGGCAGTGGTGCTATGATTAGGTGAGTCAACTAGATAAACTTTGCTCTTCGAGACCTTGGAAAGTTCAGCTGGTTTATATCCATTAAAAAGAGGAAGTATAACTATTAAATTACAAACCAAACATCTTCCTTATTCAACTGCTTTGAAGCTATTAGAGTTCTAGAAAACTCTCAATAATTGTAATAGGCTTCAGAACAGGTCCTATGTGAATGATAGACTTTTCAAAATTAATGAGCTATAGAAAACTCTGAGGTTCCTTTGCAGAAAGGAAAGATCTAGTGAGACTGAGAGCTGTTACCAGCAAAGTATTAAGAAAATAGAGCTTCATGTATCCATTATATATGATATACTTTTCAGCTTAGAGAATATTTTTGGCTAGGATGAGCACTAAACCAAAAAAATGACCATGATTCAAGTTCTTACTTTGCCATCATCTTCATATATGACCTTGGGCACTTTTTCCTGTTTATTTGCAAATATTAAGAACATTAGACACCTTATAGCAGCATTGTGTGTTCTGTGCTGAAGATATTCAATTGAAATAGAAAAGAGAGTATTTGATTATCTTTGAAAGCCCTGATACATGGGCCCTAGATCAATATCTAGTCAAACAGCCAATTTCTTTATTTAGGCCATACTTAACAGCTTATTTGTTCCTTGCAGCCTGTTTGTCTAGACAGAACAGGAAGGCTTGCATAGGGTGATAGACAAAGAACTGTTCTGCTTTCTTGTTCTACTTCCAGCAGAGAAGTTCATGTCATGTAGGAGAAGAGAGCATTGCTGCGCTGTGCATGACCAGCCTTGACTGTAACCACTACAGCGTTTAATACGCAATATTAGATGCATACCCTCTGGGCAAGTACAGCCCTCACGGGAGAGAGAACTCAGCAAAGACTTTTATTCTTTGATATTTGCAGGTTATGTCAATACCTGAGAGTGTGTATGATGACTTGAATGTCCATGATCGTGATACACTGATCTGAGGCAATGTACCACTCATAGCTATTTCTTGTTTGTTTTAGTTGTAACTATTGTGTTAAATCCAATGTCTACACTTTATTTTGAGGTACTGTCATTTGATTCCACAAATGCGAGGTTAACAATGTCCAGCCTCAAAAGTGGTTTTGACAAAGAAGTGTGTTCCATCTGAAATTAGTTTTGATCTCAAAGTACTTTGCAATTTGTTTGTTCCTGTGATTTCTGCGCAAATGACATATAAGCTAAAGATTTGAATTAGAGGCACTGAGATCCACCTTCTTTGCTGGCTCAGCATTTGGAAAGCAGGATGCATTTTTCCATCAAGTAGTGTACACGTCCAGTGACTGAGAGGTAATCACATGCTATTTTTTAAATAGATAAGCATTTTAGGAAACAGTTTTCATAGACACACAGCTTTGCCCTCCACCATGTTATCCAGCCATGAAAGCTCCAGCACTGAAAAGGTTGTTTCTAAGTTCCAATATTTCTTACATCGATGTGATATTTTCAGATGATATGGTAATATAATGGCTGTTGGAAAGGCAGATAGTAATGTCTCTAGAGAGAGGTGGCTAACTCATTTCAGCTGGAAAACCAGGAAAGACAACCTTCATTTCCCAGTGAAACTTATTATAAATTTCAGTTTGGAGAAAAAATAGTTAAAAATACATACTTTGCAGGTCTAAACTGGTAGAAGAGGCTTAAATATAACTTTTCTATGTAGCTAAAAAAGCCCCAAGCAAAAGCAAAAATACTTCCTTTCATTCATGTTGCCATATGTGCTATGGGAGAACAGATGCCCTTCTAAGTATAGCGTTCACTAAAATGAATTTTTATTTATTCGACTGACCTTTCTTTGAATTTATTTTTGATGATAGTTTTCCTGTTTTGGCATAAAATTTACTCTTGAGGGGGCAGTGGATAATGACATTCCTGTTTATAGTAAAGTCTAAACATTTTGTTGAGCTCTGTGATTTTTTTCAATGAGCTGCTGAGTTGTTCAGGTGATACTAAAATATAACACCTGTTTTGTCTTGAGTAGGCTCATTTTTTTACAGTTGTATGCATACAAAGATTGATAGTCTTAGAGTAAGGATTGACATTCTTCTAATTAAATGAATAATGAATAAATCAGTCATTTGGAAATAATAGCAAATAGTTTTTCAGGCATATTTTGAAATAATTGTCATGTCATTGTGGATTACAGATATTATTAAAGATGCAAGACTATTTTTATAAGTCCTCTCAGAAAATCAATTATGCTGTGCTGATGATGCACTCTTGTTATGAGCACTGTCAATATTTTTAACTAGAGGCAAAACTCCACATCTGTAGGAAAAGCACACATTTTGCTATAGCCCTTTGGAGACTAAACATGCTTTTTGGTGTACATTAATTCAGTCTTTTTTGCCTCTACATGCGGGGAAGTAATTGGTACCTGTTCTGTCTTCCTTGTCTACTGTGAAGCAGATAAATACTACCATCTTCCACCCTTGTTCCAGTACAAGCCTTGCTAATAGTATATGGCACAAAAAAGACATGGGGGTTACTGTGTGTTGTCTCACTTTGCTGTAAGTCCCTTTGTAAAATTACAGACCACAAAGAGTAAGGAATAAAGTAGCCCAATACTTTGTAGCAGGATATGTATATATCTGCAATTTTTTATTTATTGCTGCAGTGAGTTGTTATGTGTATTATTTATAAATCTCTCCAAAACTAATCACTTTTTAGATAGAAATAGTTACATTCTTCAATCATTTTTGAGAAATGAAAAATGTACCCTAGTCTCTGAGAGAATCTGCCTTACTCCAGCTAAAATTTCAAGAATGAAAGCTAGGTCATTCAGCAGGGGACAAGAGAGAAGACTAATCATCAATAGAAAAATAGCACTTACTCTACCTGTATTCTATTAGGAAATACGAATTAAAGAAGCAAGAGAAAGCCAAACTGCAACATCAGCAAAAATGTCCCCATAAAACAAAATTTTAAGTGGCTAAGATATGATCAGGAATAATTTTTTTTTTCTCTACAGTCTGATTCTTCTGGGCAAAAAATGTAATTTTAAATACTGCTGCAAGTGAGTATTCAGTTTTTAGTAACTTCCTCTGCTGGTTGATCTTTGAGAAGATTTTGAACACTAAATCATGTTTGATGAAAAGGTTTCCATCAAGCTCAGCGAGATGAAGCCAGAGGAAAAAAACATGTAAAACATGAGACAAGCTGTTAAAGCAGAGTTGTTACTGAGTAGAAATAACCAAAGAAGGAACTGTGGTTGGCATCAAAATGTGCTTCTTCCATGGAGATCTTCTCAAAGGTTCTTTGATAGGGTAGTCTTTGTAAAAAGATGTCGTATATGCATGCACATGAATTTCTGGTCCTTAGACCAAATCTGAGGCAGGACTGCTCTCAAGAATATTACTGATATAGCCTTGCAATGTCTCTCTCACATCTGTAAATTTTAAGATATTATATCAGAGGTAACAAGCATAGTTTCCTGAGCATTTCCTTTGCTGTTGATTTCTCCTTTATACATGTAAATTCTTTCAAAGAGGGAGTAGGAAGTGATCATGACTTGAGAGAGAGCTGCTGACCTAGGGCATTACCTCATACCTGTGACTTTCTGGTAGATTGTGGATGTCCTTGGTCCAGCAGGCCATATCCACAATTGGAGCACTTGAGAGGGAAGACAAAGCTTCATGTGATCCACCATCTCTTACCTGAAATTTAGATGATAGTTTGGTAGCTGACTGTCACCTAGTCTCCCCACCTTCTCTTATCTTAAAATTTGTAGAAAATTTATGAATTTCTTTTAAGATTCCTACTGCTCAGACACCCTCCACTTACTAGCAAAAGGGTGACATGGGCAATTCTTTTTGTTTCTCTTACCTTCAGATTGTTTATGTAACCCATTATCTGAATGAGCCCTATGTTACTTTTCTTTTTTGAAAGGGGAGCTGGGGAGAGAGGGTGTGGAAGGGTGGTGTTTTGGAAGGGCTTTTTTTTTTTTTTCGGTGAGCTTCAGTGTTTGTCTGAACACCTGATTTACGCCTTTCAGGAATGGCTCACTTTAAGACCAGAATGATGATCTTCCCAGGTTTTCTGACCAGTCAGCAGAACAAGGATGAGCCCTAAAGCAGTTCATGGGAATTACAGAAGTGATCTCTCATCATTAGCACACCAGTGAGTGTAGTCCTGTGCACAAAATTAGCCTTTGTGGGTACTGCCAGGATGGAGGCTTCTGTCAGAGACTTTAAGCATTGACCAAAGTGGGTACTAGGAGTAACTCCACCTACAAGTAACACATTTCTCCATTCATAATATTTCCTATGGATAGTATTTTGCTATTCTGTTCAGTCTGATGAAGTAATGGATCTGAAGTGCATCAAATAACAAACATACAAAACACTAGCTGCCATTAAGATCTGTATTTAACAAACCTCTGACATGTCATCAAAATAGAATATTTAAGACTAATTTTTCTATTTTGATTCATATGCACTCTAATTTAATAAAGGTGAAAGGGAAAATGAAAGGATATTAAATGTTTATTTTTGTCTTCTGTGCTTTTGAAGTGAGGGTTCAAACTAAGGTTTATTTCTTAAAAAACAGTATTATAATGCCAATGTAAAACATCTCATTCCTTGATCTAAAAAACAGAAGAGTTTCTTACAAAACCATTTTGAAGATATTTGGGTTCTCCAGTCAATTAGTAGCAAAAGAATTTTTTAGGTCCTTCAAAAGTATTTTAGAAGGATATCCTTTATTTTGTCTCAATAAGTGTCAGCTGATTTGCAAATATGAAAAGTTACAGAAGCGAGGTAACAAGAAAGTAAGCTGTGGAGTCCTACTTTACTGGTTAAGTTGCTAGCACTCAGTGACATAAACTTGGACATCAATTCAGAGAATTTGAAGCACGACAAGATGGACTGCTTTCAGTTAGGTAAAGAAGAATATATGTTTTATTTAAAGAAAGACTCATTCTGTGCTTTAGCTGCACTAATAGGACCTAAGAGATCCAGGATGTGTTCGCAGCTCTGCCCCAACACCCTCAAATTACATCTAATATAACTTTATTTTGACAGAGTTTATCACACATCTAATATAACTTTGTTTTAACAGAGTTTATCGTCTCACAGCTGGGTTGAAGTTCAAGTAGGAGAGCTGTGGTTTGCCTGCATTCTCTGTGGAGACATGCCCTGTGTTCCCTTCAGAAAGTCCTTCTGCTCTGTTTTTCTTTCCTACAGAGATCTCCCTACCTCAGCAGATGCATGCAGAAAGGCAGAAGTGCAACTATGTTCCGTTTTTTTCAGAGTAGAGGTTTTTGTCTCGTTAGTGTAGATTTTTTTAAACACAACGTGCCTTTATTTAGTTTTTTAATGAAAAATATTAATGAATTTAAAATAGAAATTTAATGAAGAATTTCTCTTGGTTGATGTTCAAAGGGTAAAAGAATTTTGAGGGCTGAAAATAAAATTAAAATTATGCCCCAATGCTCCCCACGCGAGGACAATTACTTCTGTGTGTACTATATAAGGAAAAAGAGACTACAAGGAAGAGCAGCAATAGTCCAAGAGCCAAAGGTCATTGCAAACTGAGGAAAATGGAAGCAGAGAGCCACAGCATACTTCAGGAAGAGTAGTGAATTTATATATTGCATTTTAACCAGTTGTTTAATATGTAAATACATTGGATAATACTAGACTTTTCAGGGGTTTTGCTTCGCTTTTTCATGAAGAATAGAAAGATGTGTTAGGGTTCCGATTAATTTTGAACTTTCTTAAAATGAAAGTAATAAACTAGATAAGATTTATTGTAAAAGTTCGGTCCAAAATTATTCTTACGAGTCTTTCTGAATGCTTCCTATTCCGTTCTGATTTTATCGTACAATATAGTCTCCACCCTCTTTTTTTCCCCTCCTACCTGCTTTGCAACCTCTCTCTGTTTCACAGACTATAAATTAGCAGTGTTTCGCTTCTCACTTCTTACTAACATACCCAGTGTTTCACAGGTTGCAACTAATTTTGCTGTCATTTGCTGTAGAAAATACAGGCCTAATTAAACTCTGAATATTCATTTAACATCCAAAGCAATATTTCTCCTTTCTTACCATACACTCCTCACAAAATGTCCAAATTTCCTGTTCCTCCCTGAGCCTTCTCTTTGCCAGGACAAAGAGTCCCAGCTCTCTTAGCCTCTCCTTGTATGAGAGATGCTTCAGTCCCCTAATCATCTTTGTGGCCTAATTCTTGGCACATTGTCTAGGATTAGGTGGAGAGCCAGCTGCATGGGATAGCAACCTGGAAAGATTTTTGAACATAGTTAGATGTGTGCTTCTCCACTTACTTATTGTATACTTATTCCAGTTCGTGCACTTAAATAAATTAAAGCTTGCATTAGATACCTTCTATTTTTAATAGTGCTTCCATATATATCTTAAAGACCATTGCTAATGCTAAAAATGACTGTCATGACTTTACTGTCCTTCACCGTGAGTTTCTTTGCTGTATCAGCTTATATATTTTTATCACTTTTTTCCTGGCTCTTCCCAGCATCGAAATCACAGTGTTTCTTGCCTTCGTACATTCTTAATACTATTGTATGCTCTTTTCTTCTCTATTTATTTAAGTTCTTGATCACTGCTATAGTATTGCACAATAATCTCGATGTATTTATCCCTAGGTATCTACGTTTAGAATTTATATGTTTGACTGCAACCTGTTATTTCTGCTATACTTGTACCATACAAAAATATTGTAGCATATACATCCCTTTTTTTTTTACTTTAATTATAAGAAATAATTGCTTCCCATAACTTTCTCCAGTGACAAGTGGAATGGTTCTTCACTTTTGTAGAAACAAAATGACTGATTTTTTTAAGGTCAAAATGCCTTTTCATTATGACGTTTTTAATTAAATTTTGTTGGAAAAAAATTCGAATGTCATTGACCACTTCCAAAAGAAGGAATGAGAAGATTTTTTCATGTTGCATGCGTTTCTTACCATGATGTAAGAAGAAAGATGATATCTCCCACATCGTCCTGAGATGGAAGGCCACCTCCAGTCATTTCAAACACTTTTCTAACACTTTTAAGACCCCACGCCTTAACTTTCTTTCTTTAATTGTTTTCCTTTGTGATAAGTAAAATATAAGCAAAATAAGAAACTTGCCCCAGAAGCACGTGATTAATGAACTGATTTTCTAAAATATGGTTCTCTAATACTGTCTTTTTTGCCTTGTCATTCTCATTTACCATTTATGAAGAACACCAGCTTACTGCTAATATATCCTCATGCGTAGTCTGCTATTTTCTTGCTTATTCATTTTATCATACCATCCTAGACTCCATTTGCCTTACTGAAATCCAGTATTTTAACAGTTAGCTGACACTGTTTCTTCATTTATCCTACTATTATAGCTCCTTCATTATTTTTTTCCTTATAGATTTCCCTGAGCCATCTGTTTTCTCCTGTTCTGAGCCTCTAGTGTACTACTCCTACAGAATACAGATGGCTCATTTCATCTAGAGTCACTATTTTTAAGAATAAAATACTCACCACCTGTCTCAGTGTGGGAACCTTGATTTGACAGGATTGGAAAAGCAGCCTGCAGAAGGATGATAGGAAGGAATGAGAGGATAGAGCAGAAGTCCTGCTCCTTGTGTGGGCTGTCGTCCCTCTTGCCACCCACCTAGCCCGAGGGAGAGGGGATTTTGCCAGCTCTGTACTCCCCTCCCACACCCCAAGTAATGCAGCAGCTGTCAAGGTACTCTGTGGTTCTCGTTGTCTGTGGTTTCTGCAGCCTTCATGCCTGTAGTATTAGCATAGGAGCAGTGTTTATCCTGGAGGCCAAAAAGGAATTATTCTTTTGGGAGCTACAAAGGCTGCATAGATCTTTTTTTCACCTTAGTTACAGCCTCAGTTAGTCATAGCCCTAAATCTAGGGCTTCAGCTACTGAATATTACATTTTCTTAAAAGGTTTAATTCTTCTGAATATTTTAAGTAGGTGAAGAATGTAAGGATCAGCTCCTAAATGTAAAGGGAGATGGGATAGCATGATGGACATAGACTGTAATACTCCTCCTTCCTGCAGGCTGTGGTTTGTGCTAAGCCAAATGAGAGCCTACCTGGACATGTAGATTACATTGCAGGTACCATTTCTAACTTCATTAGATTAATGTGATACTTCAAATCACCTTCCAGAAGATGTTCTACATCCACGGCAGTATCATGTAGCTGTCTGTAATCTACCTCTAACATCTATCTGTAATTTGCTATTCCCCAGACTGAGATTGCAAAAAAAAAAAAAAAAAAAACCCTAATGACTTGTTTACAGATTGCATTACATGTAGCATGGGGGGTAAATATTTAAAAAATGGTAATGGTCTCCACAGGTCTCAATTTAACTGTCCAAACTTAGTTTTGGAATTCATGCTCAAATATTAGTATTTACTACAGGAATTCATAGTATTGGAATGCATAATGCTGGAAGAGAGAGAGAGAGTATTGTAATATATATATACATATTTAGCATTGGAATTCATAGTATTGGAATGCATAATGCTGGAAGAGAGAGAGAGAGTATTGTAATATATATATACATATTTAGCATTGGAGTTCATGCTCAAATATATTTGCAGTTTGCCATTCTTACCTCTCAAAGCATGCTTAATACCCATTTCAATATTCATGAAGACTAAATTTTGATAGCTCTGCAGCAAGCCATTGCTCCATGCACTAGAAACTCTTGAGAGCTGGTCGTTCTTCAGTCAAATTCTAGCACAAACACAGTGCTGTTATATGTTCACAGACATTCTTGTAAATCATTACTGTTAAACACTTACAGAATGAAACCCTTTGGACTTACCTACATTTCACTGCTGACCAGCTAATATTATTTGACTTGATAAGGTAGTCCAGTGTCTTCCAAATGCAAAGTCATTTTTGTGGTACATTACATTGCACTTTTTCAGTCAATGACAAAGGACATTAAGTGAACGAAAGTGTCATCTAGATTTACTGAGAACTGACCTTGTCTTCTACTTATTCTCTTATTTTGTTCACTTGAACAATACTGAATAACAGTATATTTCAATTTGCAAACATACTATAAAGTCTTTTGCAGTTTTTGAAGTCTTATTTAATTACCGAAAACCAAATAGAAAAGAACCCATTCCTCAATTTTATACTCAGTAATATTAGCTTTTTTAGTCATTTCCTTTCATATTTGTTCTATGTCTTCTGCAGTTATGGAAGCAAAAATATGGAGCGTAGAGTCTACCTGAGGAGAAAGAAAGAAGCAGGTTGTCATCTAAAAATAAAGTGCCCTAAGCTGATAGGAAAAGATTTCAATTTTTAAGTTTAAAAATAGGCTAGGCAACAATTCACAGATAAAATTCACAGACTGTCTGTTTCTTGGAGGAGGAAGTAACAACACCTATTTCATGAGAATAATCTGCCAAAGAACCTATAAGTTCTTTTGACTTCAGGTAGAAAAGAAAAGATCATTTGCAGAATCTGACAGGTATTATTAGACTTGTTAGCAATGTAATTTGCCTGTAGGTTATGCTGCTGGGAGACATTCCTCAGTAACTTGGCTGTAAAACAGTAGAGAACTGATACTTTATTTTAAAAAATTGTAAATAGGAATTTTCAGTCACTGACTTCGAGAAGACAATTATTATTTAGGTGTTATTACTTACTGTGCCTTGACACCCTGCAGTACCTCTGACTATGGGATAGGTTAATATGATGCTATTATAGGGTTTGCTCTTGGCAGATGAGCATTTCTTTTAGACGCTGAAAGCATACCTAGAAAATGCTAGAGATAGTGCAAGCTAGCTAGAATAAGTAGGTTTTATACAGTTTTATACAAGTACCCCTACCAAAGTTCAACTTGTGCATACACAAAAGTCTTCAAATAATCCTATTTTCATAGGTCTCTGCTTCTTTTGTAAAGGATAAGCCTTCACATGTATCAGTATTAGAATTTACATTCCTAAAACTCATCTGTCTTAAAGTTTCAAATAGTTGCATGACTGCATCCCCAAACTGAAGCATCCATGTATTTGGAGGGTTTAACTTGTACATTCTATCTCATCACTTCCAGTGGTGTGAGTTTAATATAACTTTTTGTATCTTTTTAGTAGCATACCATGCTTCAATGCACAGATTTTGAGATGATAACGTATGTTCATCTTCATCTAACAAATCTTTTTGGAAAGAAAAAAAAAAACACTGCAGCTGGGATTCTGAACCTCCCAAATCCAGTGAAATCACGCTTTCGCTTATGTGGAGTATCGAAGTAGCCAGACTATTCTTGCCCACTGACCTTAGCAATGCTGGCAATTGTTGATAACCTAACAGTGAAGTGAGATGACAGAGGTGAAATATGAGCAGAAAGAGGAGATTTTGTCAGTGGATTTGCATACATGTAGATGTGTGTCAGGCCTTTACCCATTTTGCATCAGCTTGTCACATAAATACGTGGCGCTAATGCTGCCAGCAGCACCATTCAGATCTGCAGATGCAGACACAGCTTGCTAAACTCTTCACCAATTTGCCCAAGGGACAGATGGAAGAATGTAGAAACCACTTGAAGAGCCCTCAAGAGGGCTGAAGACTACCTTATCATTAATTTATTTATTAAAGGCACACTGTAGGAAGGATTCCCCATACATAATATGGGGAGCTCTTTGTGAAACTTGTCACAGCTTCTCTCTCACAGCAGTTTCTGTTCTAAATGCCTTTAGTTGGAAAAAACAAATTCTGGTGACCAGTGTGCAACACACTCACTAAGAGACTGACTCTGCCTTAGTGTTTTATTGACTCGGGTAAGAGATGCTAGAAGAGTTTGAGTTCTGTGTGGACTAGAGTTGTTGTTAATGATACTGTAAGCAACCCTTTCCTTTTTATGAGCTATTACTGGTGGCAGGAGCTTCAATCTGGCAAAAGTATTTTTGCTCAAGAATAAGTATACTGGGTCATACTGCTGAGACCAGAACCTGAGAGTGTTGCATGAACCTGAAATATTGTTTTATTTGAATGAGGAGAGCAGCACAGCATGATGCAGTGGGTTTGATATAGTGACCTCGGCAGTTTTTTGGATTCTTATTTCACAATCTTTGTCTAATCAGTATGTTTTCCAGGTTGACATTAGCACAGAGGTTTAAAAATAAACAATTGCTACATTTTATATGTACATATACATACATACACATATATATATCTATATAAAATACAACTGCTCTTTTGAAATACTTTGAGGAACAGCGTGCATGGACTCCCTATGGAAGAGGAAAATGCATGTACAGTTAGAAGAGTTATTCATTAGAGTTGCTTGATCAAAAGACAGCTCAAGAGAAGAAGCAGTTTCATCAACTCTGGAATGGATAATTCAGAATGTTAAGCTAGAGGAATTTTCCCTATGAAAGGTGATTTAAAATTATTTAACAAGAAAATTTCATTACCCATTGATGAAGGAGAATGGCAGTGTTGGCAAACTTCTGGACCTCATTATTACAAACATAGAAGCAGAATTCAGGGTATTCTTTTAGGAATTAGCTATTAGGCTCACCATCTTTAGATTTCAGCACATTATTAAATGAATGACAGTGAGATAGCTAAAAAACTGGAGAAAATCCAAGGAACTAATGCCTTTCTGTAAAGCTTGCAAGATATTTAAAGTGGAATTGTGCAAAAGTCTGGCTTTTATCTTGTTCTGTTCAGTATTTGCAATGATAGCTTGGACTGATGGAATAAAGGAAATGCATGCAGAAGACACTAAGCTGGAAGGAACTACTAGCATTTAGGAGAAGAGAATCTGAATATGAAATGATAATTTAAATACTCTTTAATTCACAAAATGACTTTCAATAAAAACAAGCATAAAGTGCTACACATGGTAGGGAAAATCAAATGCACATATTCTAAACGAGAACTAGGATAAAGAGGAGAACTTCAGAAAAAAATATTTTGCTATTTTGAGTGGCTTAAAGTCCTTGAATATGAGTCAATAATGTGGTCCTGCTGTAGGAAAGGTTCATAAAAATAGTCCTCGTATGACAAAAAGCAGGAAGCTGAATTGTTCCATTCAGCTTGGCTCTGCTTAAACATGGAAAAATGCATTCACTTTCCAGTGAATAAAAAGGCACAGAAATCTGAAAGAATCCACAGGAAGGCAGTCAGAAATCAGAACATAAGAAAGCAGGAGGGTTTTTCTAGGCCACAAAACAGAAGACTAAGAGGACATCTGACAAGCATTCCAATTTAAGAGTCTTATGAAATGTCCTCTAAATACATTGATCTTTCAATACTAGTTTAGAAAAAAAAGTGTATGTTTTAAAGTATGTGACCAAACAGCACTTATGCGTGCCACCATACCTGCTGCCCTCTGTAAATATTGGTCTGCTCATATCATGCTTAGTTGAGAGAGGGAGTTATTCTAATTTAGCTTCCACTAATTATCTCAGAGTTACAAACATAATTTCTAAATCTTAATCCAACATCCAAGAATATTCCTAGTAAAATGCATTCTGGGCTATTATGCATATATGCTATGTTTGTACTAATTGAGAATATAAAGAGGAGTCATGGGAAGATGAATGCAAATGACTCTTCTCCCTCTCTCATAAAATAGAAAAAAAATATGACAGAAACAATTTTGTTGGGCTAACAACTGCAGAATAATGAACTTTTCCCAAAATAAATCCAGAAAAAATTAGATAATATCAAACATAAAATAATACACGTCTGGGCATTAGCTACACGAAGAGGAGGAAAACCCTCATAGAAAACTTTAATTTCATGTAACCCGAAAATTATCAAAGAATTGCCAGGTATTCAGTTTTTCTCAGCCCAGACAATGCACAGTTCTACAGTTCATACATGCCTCACCTTCCCAAAACTGTAGCATAAGCCCCTCACCAATAAAATATTCTTTCTTAACAGTGGTGCAGGGGAAATAGGGTCTCGTCTTTCAGAAGATCCTCTGCACCCTCTTTAAGAGTTCCCCCAAGTTAGAATCTGGGTGAGCAGCTGTGGCTCAGCTCTACCTTCTAATGTTTCTCATCCTAAACTCATGGATTCCTTTTCTTTTTTGGCCCTGGAAGAGGAAAGAAGGAAATCCTTCCGTTCTTTCACACCCACATCATACCTGAAGCTGTTGATTGGACGCTGGGAAGAGGCTGGCTACCCAATAGCACTAAACCAGCTGAAGGTAGACATCCAACCTGGAGTCATGCATCTCATTGAGTTGGTGCACCTCTAGGTGCCTCCTAGAGGCTACCTAGCGCTGTTAGATAGCCAGCACAGTTGTGCCATACTAATACAAGCACATGCAGAAGTGGCAAGGAATTGGAAAGCAGTAAGGAAACCAAGTAAACCTTACAGGAATATTTTTATCTTACCTCTGGGGCTATTCAGTTGTGGACCTCAGGAGAAGTGTCAGGTGATTCTTCATCAGTATTGCTGCAGGAAGAACAGAGAGAGCAATTTGGCCCATAAGTCTGTTCCTTCTGCTAAGGAACCCAGGACTACTTCCGGGCCATAAACTATTAGTGCTATCAAGACCATTGAGTTTAAAGATGTGGGCACATCCACCCCTAACCTCAAAGGGTCATCCTCCATCACTTCGTAGTTTCTCCATGTTCCCTGTCCAGATGCCCAGTTTGCTGTTCTGCTGCTTTATTTCTAACCTTCAAAAGTCTCCATTAGCTCTTATTGC